TTAGGAAGATCTGACTACCTGAATGATCCCAAAATATACCCACTTACAGACAGTGCCTTCTGGCAAAAAGGATTTGCCTTAATCACATAAAAAAAGGATTTGTAAAACATTTTGTTTATACAATTATCCAGTTTTACCTAAGCTTGACATTGAGGCTCAGATAACCAAAGATTTTGTTAAATTAAACCTTTGGGATCAGCACAAAATCCAAAAGTACTTTACAAAAATCTAATGTTTTCTTTGGTGCATGGAGTTAAGATGTTCAAGGCACTACCAAGATGCAAAAAAGTCCAATGAACAGAAAATAAACAATAAAAGGGCTAATGCAATACCTATCAGTTAGGAACTGGGATCTCATTTAGGGAAACTTTAAATGCACAATTTATTGTATGGTTTTATCTACCTGCTTAATTGGCCTTTGAATCATCAGTGTCCTAAAGTTTTCATAAGGTATCTCTCTTTATATATATATATTTATATGTATAACCAGCTTAATATTCCACATCTTGCACAATAATAATATTTTCATTTGATTAGGCCTAAATTTTATTGCCAAAACGCTGTATTTTGTTTTCTGGCATCAACCAGCAACTTCTCATATTCTTAATTAGAAAAATATTTTTCCATGCTAGCGTTAGCCTTGTTGAATTAACTCCAGGATTTGTGTTTGTTTTCTTTTTTCTCCAGCCTGAACTGCTCAGTTTGTCCTTCCCAGCTCCAAGATTTCATGGGATGCTCTCATGAGTGTGGTCCCTGGCTGAGGAATCTGATCAAAACCTCGTTAATTACTTGATTAATGCATTGATTAATCCTGGGGAGTGGAGCTGTGCAGTGGCTGCCCTTGATGCCCTCTGTCAGGGTGATTTGGAGGGTGTTGGGGTATTCGAGGGTATTTAGGGGGGATTCAGGGGTATTCAGGGTGCTGTGGGTATTCAGAGGGTATTTAGGGTATTTTGGGGGAATTCAAAGGGTATTTAGGGATTTTTGGAGGGTGTTGTGGGTATTTAGCTGGTGTTTCAGAGGCTGTTGTGCAAGTGAGAGCTGTAAACCTCAATTCCTGCTGCCTCTGAGGGTTTTCCAGCATTTTCAGCTCCTTTGCAGGTTCAGAAGCACTTCCCACAGGAAAACAGAACTTGGGTGCTGGAAACTGTAAGAAAAAACACAACTCAGCCGTTTCTGACCCATCCCATACGGATTCATCTGACGATTCTGTTTTAAATAATCGATTTTGTGCTTTCTAAAGCCAGGCTCTTGTGGCTTTAAGTGAAGTTTGCATTTCTCTGCTTTTCTCCAGAACCAGGGGCTGCAGAGCTGTTGTTGTATCTCCAATTAGAGCTGCCCAATTAGTGCTGCCCAGTGCCATGGTTCGGCTGTAAATGCATCCAGGAAGAAGAGAAAGGAACATTCTTCAGTCTCTCTGAAGGTGATGCAGCTGGCAAATGATTTTTCTAAAGTGCAAATTAACTCGATTGCACCTATGTACATCTGAGCAGCTCCCTGGAGCAAAGGACAGATGAATGAGTTTGCACAGCTGTGGGGTGATTTGTGCGAGTGAGTTAAATAAAATCCTTTCTACGAGTACTTAGCTGGGATGTGCATTAGCAGAAAAGCTCCCGGTGAAATGGAAGGGGGCGTGTGTTGATTTATCAGCTCCAATCGACGCCTGTTACTGGCAGACAAACAGCCTGAGCAGGGTCATTTCCAGCCGCGGGGTTTATGGTGTCTTAGCAGAGACTGTGATGGCAAAGAAGTTTTACAAATCCATTGATTCCTGCAATGCTCCTTTGGAAGATGTTTGCTGAGATATTTCAATCTCAGTTGTGCACCAGCTCTGCTATGTTAAATTGGTGATGGCAGTGAAAACAAGGCAAGAAAAGTGCATTACAAAGGGTTTGATTACAAAGGGTTTGATTACAAAGGGTTTGATTACAAAGGGTTTGTGTTCTGCAGGGTTCTCGGTGCTGATGGATTTGAGGTTCAGCTGCTGAGGTTTTCACCTGGGCTTCTTTGTCCTTTCCTGGCCAATGGCAGCCGCAGCATTTGCTGGTTTTGTGTTTCAGTTCTGTTCTCACCCCAGGTGAGCACGGGGTTCTGCCCTGGTTGTCACCTGCTGGGTCACCCTAACCCTCACCTGCTGGGCCACCTTCACCTGGTGCCAGTGACACAAACCCGCTCCTTTTCCTTTTCCTTTCCCCTGCCAGGTGGGACAGAAACTCTGGGCTGGTTCCAGCGCCCAGCACCTGCCCTTGGTGATTTTAGTGAGCTGCCAGGACCCTCAGTGAGCTGCCAGGACCCTCAGTGAGCTCTGTCCCACCCTGGGGCTCCCCAGGAACCCCCCTGGGCTGTGCTGGTGCCCAGCCCTGGACCAGTGACCCCAGTTTGCACCCCCCAGGCTGTGCTGGGAGTGGCTTTTCAGATCGTGTTTCCAGAGCATCACAGGAATAAATTCAGAATTTGTTTCTGCAGATCATCTCCGATGTCTGCTTGCAATTTGCTGTTTCCACAGAAATTTCTGGCACTGAACTTGTTTGCTTGGATTCTCACTATTGTTTTGGTAAGCATATTCTTTCCCTTGACAGGCCCCTCTTGGCAAATATTTCAAATTCCTGTCTTTCTCTTTTTACATTTTAGTTTTTTTCTCAGGATTTTTAGCTGCTGCTTTCTGTTATTTCTAAGAATGGCTCTGTTTGTCACTATATGACGCAGAATTCGTAGGGTTTACACAGAATTCCTCCTCTTCCTTCAGCTCATTCAGCAGATTGTGGTTAACAGTAATGAGAGAAGAAGTCTCAAAAAAACTGGAGGGAAATGAGTGAGAGCCAGGCTGGTTATCACTACACTTTTGTAGGAACTGAAATTAAAAAATACAGAATTCTCAAAACTTTTCTTTTATGGGTCGTAAATCAGGATTACAAACAAAACTCAAGTTTTATTTCAACGCTGAAATTTTGTAACTCTGAACTTGGGTAACCCCGGAGCATCCATGCCCCGGGAGTGTCACCATAAAGGGGAACAGAACAGGTGTGGGGTAGGGATAGGATAGATAGAGATTAGATTTAGATATAGATATAGAATGTCTCCATAAAGGGGAACAGAACAGGTATGGGGTAGGTCTGGGTATAGAATAGGTATAGATGTAGAATATGTCCATAAAGGGAAATAGAACAGGTATAGGTATGGAATAGACATAGAATAGATATGGGTATAAAATAGATACAGAATATCCACATAAAGTAAAGGGGACTAGAACAGGTATAGGATAGGTATAGATATAGAATATCTCTATAAAGGGTTATTGAAGAGCTATAGGTATGGAATATCTCTATAGAAGGTAATAGAATAGGTAGAGGTATAGAATAGGTACAGATATAGAATATCTCCATAAAAGGTGATAGAATAGCTATAAATATAGAATAGGTATAGATACAGAATAAGTACAGGTATAGAATATCTCCATAAAGGGTAAGAGAATAGGTAGAGGTATCGAATATAGCTAAAAATAAGGAACTTTGAGAGAACTGAAAACAAGATTTTATTACAAAAGAGCAGATAAAATAACGAATATCAGCTGGTTCTAGCTGCTGTTTTTCTTTTACATGTAAAATGCTGATTAATATTTGTGACATAGAGTGCAATTGGGAGACTCTTATGAAAATACTTGCAGGTAATTTTTTTTATTAAAATAAGAATTAGCAACTACAGAAGTTTTTCCTGGGTTGGTACAACTCTGAGGGAACTGGTGAAATAGGAAATGCCTCGGTTTCCCCTGCCTGGCACAGATAAATAAAACCAATCCCTTGCAGTGCCAAGTGATTTAAGTCAGTTTAAAACTTTCCTGGGACAGAAACACAAGCTGTGATTTTTTAATAAATAGATGTCAGCTTTCCCTCGATAGTTTCCCTCGTGTTTCTGAGCTCTTTGGGTGGTGGGCACTGGGTGTGGTTTGGTCCCTCCCCAGGTGTGGATTTTGGGCAGCTGGGGCTGGTCCCACCGGCCCTGCCCGCTCCTGGGAGCTGGGAGGAGCAGCAGCAGCGGGATGGAAAGAGATAGAAATAAATAGAAATGAATAGACGTTAATATATAAAATTAGAAATTAATAGAGATTAATATCTAAAATTAGAAATAAATAGGTATACATACAAATAAATATGTATACATAGATATACATGGATATAAATGGATATATAGAGAGATATTAATAGAAATTAATATATATAAATATATAAAAATAGAAATAAATAGAAATAACTAGCTATAAATAGAAATAAAGAGAGTCCGGAACGGGACGGAGCAGGGGCAGGATCAGGGTGTGACATCAGCGTGAGCGGGACGGGCGGGACCTCGCGGCTCGGTTCGGCTCAGTTCGGCTCAGTTCGGCTTAGTTCGGCTCCGTTCGGCTCGGTTCGGCTTAGTTCAGCTCAGTTCGGCTCGGTTCAGCTTAGTTCAGCTCGGTTCGGCTCAGTTCAGCTCGGTTCGGCTCAGTTCAGCTCGGTTCGGCTTAGTTCAGCTCGGTTCGGTTCAGTTCAGCTTGGTTCGGCTCCGTTCAGCTCGGTTACTCTCGGTTCAGCTCAGTTCAGCCCAGATAAGCTCAGTTCGGCTCAGCTCAGTTCAGTTCAGCCCAGCTAGGACAGAGCAGACACTTTTTTCCCCGCGGTGCTCCCAAGTTCCCGTCCCCGGCAGCGCAGCCCCGGCCCCTGGGAGAGCGGGGAAAGAACCCGGGACAGAGCCGGGAACGGGACCGGCAGGGAAAGAATCCCGGGATAGAGCCGGGAACGGGACCGGCAGGGAAAGAATCCCGGGATAGAGCCGGGAACGGGACCGGCAGGGAAAGGACCCGGGATAGAGCCGGGAACGGGACCGGCAGGGAAAAGCCCCGGGACAAGGGATCGGCAGGGAAAGGATCCCGGGACAAGGGATCGGCAGGGAAAGGATCCCGGGACAAGGGATCGGCAGGGAAAAGCCCCGGGACAAGGGATCGGCAGGGAAAGGATCCCGGGACAAGGGATCGGCAGGGAAAGAATCCCGGGACAAGGGATCGGCTCCTCGTGGCACGGATTGCAGCAGAAGAGTTGGAGCTCTTCCCACGGAGCAGCACAACTTCGGGCGCGCATTCCTGGGAATTTTCCTCCGGTCGTGGTCGTTTATTCAGAGTTAAATGAAGATATCGAAGGGTGAAGCAAGGAAATATTGCTTGGAGGCTCTGGAAGGAGATTTTGCCATCCCTGAAGGAATGAACTTTTGGAACCTGCGTGGAAAATGTCCTTTTTAATACCGAAAGTAGCAAAGGAGAACTTATGATCGAAACCTTATAGGAATTTGATTTCAACTGCACTTTTAACCTTAAATAGACCATGGAGAGTTTGTTATCTCTGCTCTGTTGCCATTATTCTTTGCTGATTTTGTTTCAGCACAAGTACCAGGTAATATTCTGAATCCGGCCAGTGCTGAGATGTGCTTGGATTCCTCTTTGCAAGTTTTCCTCACCGTGTCTCACTCCTGTCCTGTTTTATGTGCAGGTGTACGGAAACTACTCCCAGCTACCCAAACACCCAGGTAAGGAATGCTCCATTTATATTGTGTTTGTATTTTTGTATTCCCTAAGTAGCCCCAAAGAGGCTGAGCCCACGTTTGGATGTATTATGAGCTCTGTATGAAGGATGTAATAATCCAAAATATCAGAGTGTCCCAGCCACTGTAAATTCTGTACCCTACACTGAGAATTCTGATAGAAACAGATTTGGAGGCAAAGGGCTGGTGTTTGGTACGTGGAAAAGTCCCAAGTGCGCTTGTCTGTCATCACTTTTTCTGAGTGTAACTTTCTGGATCAAATCTCTGCACAGATTATTTCCTTTTCGCCCTCGATGTCAGTGATTTGCAGCTGGATGTGCCAGCTGTGCGCTCTGCTGTGACTCCAATCCTCCCCCTGCTCCCCGCCTGTGCCCCTGGATTTCGGGCACAGAGCAGGTCAGGGAGCTCTGCTCTGTTTCCGATGTAAAAACCTCACTCAGGGCTCATAAAGATTTGCGTGTGTAACTGCGGAATTGTTCAGTTTATAGAAATAGTTTAACCTCAAGCCTCATGGTGGTGTGCAAGTACAATTTTACTGCTTTACCCCTCCATGTGCTGCTTTGTGCTTCCCAGTTATAACCACACGTAATTAATTATTTCAGGTGTAAAACACGGCGATGGGGAAAGGCCACGTCTGTTAAAGGAGCAACTTTTGATTAATTGCTTTTGCTCCACCTTTGCTCAAAACTAAGAAAAAAAAAAGTCATCTTTCCTAAAAATGAGGGTCTCTGGCTTCTGGCAATGGAACAGAATGGGGAAAGCCTCCTGCCATAGGTGGGGGAGCTCCCCAGGGCTGGGATTGAGCTGCAGGGTGTGGGGGGATCCCTGTGTGGGATCGAGGGGGGATCCCTGTGTGGGATCGTGGGGATCCCTGTCCCTTCCAGGGTTGCAGCCACACGCCCTGGGGCTCTGTTCTGAGCGGGGTCCTTGCCTGGGGAAAGGATTTTACATTCAGGGTAGCGGGTATTCACTTCTGGAGCTCTTAGCTGAGTTTGGGTTGCCTGAAATTTCCAGATGATGTTTTGTGTGTGCTGGTTGGGGGTTCCTCTCCTCAGGGGCTGGCATGTCCTCTCCTTGCAGGGACAGCCCTGACCCTCTCTGCCTGTTCCCCTCTCTCTGCCTGTTCCCCTCTCTCTGCCTGTTCCCCTCTCTCTGCCTGTTCCCCTCTCTCCGCCTGTTCCCCTCTCTCTGCCAGGCACTCAGAGATGGGGAACCACAGGACCCCATTTCCATTCCATGAAACTTCCCCCTCTTATCTGTTTGTGCTCAGTTCCCTCCTTGAGAGAAAACCTCTATGACAACGGCAAACATTTAGTTAGGTGGGCTAAGAATAGATCCTGAATTAATGAATTCAATTATGAATCATTTGTTAGATATCTCTGGCATAGTTGACTTTGGAAGCAAGTCTGAGTAGTTCTTGTATCCTCCCAAGACACAGAACTTGGAGTTCTGTTTCCTTGTTTCAATTCAAGCAATTGCTTGTTGGGAAGTTTAGCAATTTTATCAGCTTTGCAAACTTTTCAAAATAAAAAATTAAATGTTAGGATCCCGTCTGTCACACGTCAGAAGCTGTACCGTGGGGTTGGAGGCCAGCAGTGCTCTCCAGGGTGGGCATCAGGAACTTCCATCAAGGTTTTGCACCTTCACATCCACGGCACAAGAGTCTGGTGTGTATCCAGGGCATTAAAACGACACAGAAGCATCAAACAGGAAAATTGTTCTGATCTCACAAGTGAGGGCAGGTGTGGGATGAGCTGCAGAAGCCAAAGGACCCTGCTCCCTCTGGGGTCGTTTGCACATGAGCTGGGGAGGTTTTGTGGTGTCTGACAGCTGCACTGGGCTCTGACAAACCTCCCCTGTCAGCTCCACACCAGACAGATTGCTGGGGAATGAGGAATGACTGCAGGGCAGGGAACCAGGATGGGGTGGAACACAAATCCTGCTCTTTGTCCCCTTATCCTTGGTGCTGTCCCCACCTCTCCCCCCAGGAGCAGTAACTCAGAGCAGGATGATTTGCTGTGATGGTGCACGCCTGGAAAAACTTCTGTGTATCTCTGTCAACTTACCCAAACTTCCTTAGCCGTGGGACACGCTAAATTTATTTCATCACATCCGATTAAATTAATTGCTTTGAAAATAAAGGGCTCCTTGCAGCTAGCAAGATAGTAAGAAATTACAATTCATGTTTTTTCTCCTCTATGAATGCTCTACCCTTAAAATAGAATTGTTATCCGAAGAGAAAATGTGCTTGTTTAGAGCAGCCTGTTTCTGATTCGGTGACCCCACGTGCCAGGATTTGTTCAAGCTCTGCTCACTGAGGCTGGGCAGCAGAAATGCCAAAGGAAACCTGCAGCTGTTCCTGTCTCTGCCCACCCAGGAGAACAACGTGTTTCCACCAACCCCAAAGGGCTGCTCTGGATTTGGGGAGGAGGAGGAGGCTCTGGAGGAAGGGCTGGGGAGGTGGGAGCTCCTCCATCTGCTGCTCCGTGTCTGCGAGTCAGGAGCACCGAAGAGCCCCTGGCACATTTTTGCTGCAGAGGAACATTCCCATCCCTGTCCACCACGTGCTGGAAATCCCAGAAAAATCTGGAAATTACTCTTGGATGACTCCTCAGCTCTTCCTGCAGTGAATGCTGCCAGAAACAGAGATTTAGCCAGAGATTGTTGCACATTTTAAGTGCAATTAAAATGAAAATCAGCTGGGATTTAAAAGCAGGTTTTCTGCAGTGGTTAATCACTGGTACAGCTTTAATCTACTCTGCTGCTTTGATTTATGATCTCGCTTGTGTGCCACACTTGATTTACATAAAATATTTCGGTTTATTTAACCTTTTGACCTCTTTTATGGTTATTTTCTGTGGAGACTTGTTACACGCCTTGTTGGCCTTTTATTTAATAATCTTTTCACCTGTGTTTCTTGGAAGGGTTCAAAGTCCTGGCATCAGCTTCCCACTACTGGCCACTGGAAGATGTGGATGGAATTCACGAATTTCGGGACACAAATGGAGGTAGACACAGCAGCACAGCTCTGTGCCTGGCTGGACTGGAAAGGGCAGCAGGAGACAAGGAAGGGGTTAATTTTTGTGGCTCAGAGGCTGAGATTTTTTTCCCAGTTAATGTGTTTGCAGGGCTCTGATACCCAAATGATGCTGTATTTGTGGGCTGATTTTTATGGAGGATTCTCCGAGGTTGAGTGGGCTCCTGTGCATTGCTGGGGCTCTAAAGGCAGAGCTTTGTGACCCAAGGCGTGGTTGCAGTCCCGTGGTTATCGGGGGCTTTGGGGCAGGCACAGCCAGGGGCTGAGATTTCAGCAGGGGACACTCTCTGCTCTTCTGTGCCCTGATCCTCATGCTGGAAAGGGTTAAATGTCCAAGCTCCCCCTGCACTCTGAACAGTCAGAAAAAAAAGTGTGAGCTCTCATCTGGACACCTCTCAGCCACTTTGATCGGCTGCTGGGTATTTCCCACATGAGCAGGAGCTCGTATTAAAGCAATTCTTCAACAACTGGGCAAAATCAGGAGAGAGCTGCTGGGACAAACCTGCACTGGTCTGCCAGGGCCGGGTGTCAGGGCAGGATCCCGGGGGGGGACAATCCCAGAGGGGGGGACAATCCCAGAGGAGGGGATGACATCCCAGGGCTGCCTGGTGCAGCTGAGGGGCTCCCCCAAACCCCAGAGTCCCCCCCGAGTTCTGCTGCTCCTTCCAGGTGAAATGTTCAGCTGGGCTCTGCCTCCCTCCCCAGAGCCCTGGAGCTCCCTCAGGAATTTCCAGGGAGTTTTTTTTTTTCTCTGCTCACACCTTGGCCAGTTGCAGGTGCTGCTGATGTGCATTCCCAACCTGGGTGCCAAAAATGGCAATATCCATCTCTGCTCCTGAGTGGGGAAAAAGAGCCATAAATACCTAAATCCCTTTATTGAGGGTAGAGGTGTTCAAGTATTTTAAGCCTGAACTTTGACCTCTCTTTCCACAAAATTTCTGAAAGGAATGGAATTGCCTGAGCAGAAATATATCTGGGTAATATTCTGCTTCCATGAGGAGCTGATGGCAGCATTGCTACTGACTTCAATAGAATAATAATTTGGCTTGCAAAAGTTGCCACATAAGTTCTCTAAAAGTGTGTTAAAGTCATTTTCTGACCCTGGACTTCACGTGGTTTCAAAAAGAGAGAAGTGCTCTGTATCTAGCACTGTTCTGGCAATCACATTACCACAAAGGTGTTTGGAAAGTGCTTGAAAAAGATATATATATAGATATATATATATATAAATATATATATATAATATAGCTCCTGGAAAAGGACAAGTGCTGTTAGTTTGCTTTTCAAATATTGTTTAAATTTATTTCAGCAAAATTCAGAAATATTTTCTCTTGGAAGAGAGAAAGCAGAACAGATGAAGTTCCTGATCCTCCAAGCCTTCACTCACAGCAAAGGGACTGGCTCACAGGAGAAATCTCTTTTGCTTCCTATTATCACATGGTGTTAAAGAAATTTATAAATGAGCCAGCTGCAGGACTTGGCTGAAAGAATTTGGTGGATTTTATCTTACAATTACTTGCAGGGGGTATCAGTAGCCAGAGGTCTTTGTCTCTGCAGTGCAGCTCTAACAATGCTGAATTCTCTCTGTGTTGCTCTGGATGGCTCCAATTCCTCTCAGTTGTTTATTTTGTGTCTTATCAGACACAGATTTTATTTCAGCTGCCTCCAGCAGAGGTTTTATGTATCTGATATTTCACTTTGATATACAAGAAAAGCGTTCTTTATTGCTGCAATCTACTCCAGGTGACAATTTTGCTTGGTTTTGGTTCCATTCTGATTGCACAACCCTTCTGTTTATTTGCAGAACCTTTCTTGTTTTTCCACTCATCGTATCATGCAATTATTTTCATTCCACGTTTCTCCTCTCACATCCTCGAAGCACCATCATCTGTCCCTCACGTGAATCCATTTTATTTGTTGAAATCATTGTGTGTGGGGCCAGATTTGTATCTCTCAGAGCTGGCAGCAAAGGAATGTTCTGGAAATCCCAGCACCAGAGGCAACAGAAGGGAAACGATCCCTTCAAAAAGCAGCAAATGCAAAGGGAGGGGCCCTGCCCAGCTCTTTCTTCTGACCCCTTGTTTCCCCTCCATTTTTTGCTGGAGGTTTTTGTGTTTTTCTTTTCCTAGGAGCATTTGTCTTTTTGTTCTGTGGGCTCAGTTGGTCTAAATCCCAAATCAATGTCTCTCCATTTACTTTCATGGCCTTTCCATCAGGCTTTATTTGCCTGCCCGGGATAAACAATTGCAGTGTGCAAGATACTGTTAAATTTTCCAAATTGGGGGAAAAAAATTAGAGAATAAAACTTTATTATCAGACATAAAAAAAGGTTGGAGGTTTTCTTCTATTTGGATGGAGTTTTCTTGTGTTTTGATTTGTGCCCATTGCTCTGGTGTGTTCTCTGGGTATAAATAAGGAGAGCCTGGCACTTGCCATGTCCAGCTGAGAATTTTTACACTTGGATCAAACCCTGAGCCCTCCAGGCTGGGCAGCCCCAGCTCCCTCAGCCTCTCCTGCCACCCCCAGGCTGTGCAAAACTGGCCACGGGGCTTGGGCTGCAGCTGCATTTATATGGATTGTTCTTCTCAGTAACTGTGAAGGAAACATTCTTTTATTGACATTTCCTGTGCAGTGAGAACATTCTTTTATTGATTGACATTTCCTGTACAGTGAAAAAATTCTTTTATTGACATTTCCTGTGCAGTGAGAACATTCTTTTATTGACATTTCCTGTGCAGTGAGAACATTCTTTTATTGACATTTCCTGTGCAGTGAGAACATTCTTTTAGTGAAATTTCCTGTACAGCGAAAAAATTCTTTTATTGACATTGCCCTGTACAGGTGAGAACATTCTTTTATTGATTGACATTTCCTGTACAGGTGAGAACTTTTTTTTTATTGACATTTCCTGTACAGGTGAGAACATTTTTTTAGTGACATTTCCCTGTACAGTGAGAACATTCCTTTAGTGACATTTCCCTGTGCAGGTGAGAACATTCCTTTAGTGAAATTTCCTGTACAGTGAAAAAATTCCTTTAGTGACATTTCCCTGTACAGTGAGAACATTCTTTTATTGACATTTCCTGTACAGTGAGAACATTCTTTTATTGACATTTCCCTGTACAGGTGAGAACATTCTTTTATTGATTGACATTTCCTGTACAGGTGAGAACATTTTTTTTATTGACATTTCCTGTACATTGAGAACATTCCTTTATTGACATTTCCTGTACAGTGAAAAAAATTATTTTATTGTCATTTCCCTGTACAGTGAGAACATTCCTTTATTGACATTTCCGTGTACAGGTGAGAACATTCCTTTAGTGACATTTCCTGTACAGTGAAAAAAAATTCTTTTATTGACATTTCCTGTGCAGGTGAAGCCCACACATGAGAAATTCTCGTGGGGTAAATTTAACATCAACAAATCTGGGATTTGTGCTGTGCTGAGAGATATGAACTGGCCAATTCATTACTGATTGTGTTTATTCATTGTTTTGTTTATTTGCTTATTTTCTTTTGTTGTTCCACCCAGCTCTAAGAATCCACAACTTCACTGTGCTTCCTTCCCATAACTCTACCTTTGTAAATACCAATGACTCTGCCTACTCTAACTCCTCTGCAACTGTAGGTGAGATTTTCTCGTTTTTTTCTTCTGCATTTGTCACGTGTGGATGGTTCTTGTGTTCAGAGTTCACTCTGAGGTTTGGCTCAAGAGCTGGTGTGGTAAAAATTGTGATTGTTATTATTATTATTATTATTATTAATGTTCCCTGGAGTTCTGGGAGAGGCATCCCCGTGGGAGGATGGGCCCCAAGGATCCTTCAAAACCTAAAAAAATTCTGTTATGTTTAAAAGAAACGGAGATGGCATTTCAGAGGAGCATATGAGAACAAACAGGTTAATTTTTTTCTTGTCTTTCAAGGCTAAAATGGAGAAGCAGCTCTCTGTTTTTCACTGGTTTGTCATAACTTTTAGAGGACACGTTAAGAAAGACAAATGCAAGCAGATTTGTAAAGCCTTTCAAAAAATGAAAAAAAATAATTATTATTTATTTTATTTATTATTTTATTATTTATTTTTATAAATAAATTTTAACTGGGTAAAGGATTTTAACTGTTTAAAGGATTTCTTTACCAGCTCAGCCTGACACTGAGACACCCCTAGGAAGTGTCTGGCCTTCAAAACTCTGGAAAACAAAGTTTACTCCGATTATTTAAATGATCATTTTTGGGTGTATGGGTTCTGTCATAGTTAAGCACAGAGCTGAGGGGGTACGAGTGTAATATTTACAAACTTGAGATAAAAGAGGCGTCCCTGTGGTCTTCAAAAATACAACAAACCCCTGACAAACAGAAACAAAGACACTGAGCAAAACTGAACTGGCAAACTGGAACAAAAAAAAAAGGAAAACCAAACACTAAAAGTACCAAAACCATAGAGCTGGAACAAGATAAAGGTGTGAGCTCCAGGATGTTAAAATTGTGTTTCCAGGGGGTTTTCCTTGGCGTGAATGTTAAACTGGATTTTGTTTTGCTGTAGATATTGTAGAGGGGATGGTGAACAAAGGAATTTACGTCACTGAAAAGAAAGGAGTCACCTTTCTCTTCTTTGGGAGCTACCGAAATTCTTGCATCAGTAACCCAGAGGCTTGTGGGCCTGAAGGTGAGAAATTCATTAATTAACTTTAATTAATCGACTTTTCTTTTGCTGCCAAATGATGTTATTCGATATTCGTTGTTCCTCTCCTCCTTGGAATGAAATCAAACCCCTTTTACAGGATATCAGTGACATTTCCTGTGAGCTGACCAGGATTATTTGTGGGCAGAGTCAATCACCATGTGCACTTGCAGGGTTGTGTTGTGTTTTTGGGAGGATTATTTGATTTTTGTGTGGGTGGGGAGCTCAGGGTCGTGTCTGTGGCTCCTGTGCAGTGATCCCTTGATTTTACACTTTGCTCTCAGGAGCTGCTGGTGCTCTGGAGGGTGACAGCATTCCCAGTAACTCTCCCAGGAAATCCCAGTTTTAGCAGGGTGTGCTGGCCAGGCAGTGCTGCAGGGCTCAGGAAAATTAAATCTGTTAATTATAAAATCAGATCTGTTAAATCTGCCTGTGGTGGGGTCTGGGGAGCACCAAATCCAGTGCAGGAGCCTTTTGGAAGCCAAAGAACTTTGTTTTTTTCCCCAGAGAAGCTGCTCTGCCAGTGCTGTGTCCTGGCTGTGCTCAGGGGATGCAGAGCTCAGGGAGGAATTGTTTATTGGCTTTGAATGCTGCAGCATTGTTGATTTTAGAAATGCTGTCCTGCTTTGTGCCAGCAGATGATCTGTCCTCAGAAGCATCCCCACTCTCTGCATTCTGCACACTGGAAATTTTTAATTGCACTCATTTTTTTTCATTCAAGTCTCCTCTCCCTTGCTTTCCTCAGGAGTAACATTTTCCTTTTTCTGGAAGACTCAAGACCAGCAGGCCAAGCTTCTCCCTGCCTCTGGTGGACGAGTCATTTCCAGTGGCTTCAAAATCTGCTCGAATGAAGGTGAAGGCTCCGTGGAATTTTACACCCGTGGGAATGCAATGATGAAGTGGAAAGCGAGCTTTAGTCCACCAGGTAAAGTTTATATATTTTTAAAAACCCAGTTTCTTTGTTACATTTGGCTTTATTCTTGCAGACAGAGGTAGTGAGAAGAGCACAACTTCGGGAAGGAGAAGTGGGACTATAAAAATAGCTACAGACCTCTGTGCTTAAGAATTCTCTTGGTGTGGGGAGGGAGAGATAAAATGCAAACTGCAAAGCAGTGATGGATTATAGAACATTTGCCACTCACTCACAGCTCTGGGGTTCCAGCTGTGCCTGCAGTGGAGTCCTGGTGGGCTTCAGTGGGTTCCTGCATGTTTAGATGGAAACAAGAGCAAAGAATGCACATTAATCCCTGGCAGCTCCCAGGATATTCCCAGGCTGGTGGGCTGCTCTCTGCTGCCTGCTCAATTAAGGCTTTATTTGGTCACTCTCTAACTGCTCTTTGCTGCTTTCATGATTCTGTTTTCTGGTGAGTGTCAGCTTTTCTCTGCCAAGCCATAGCATTAATAAACATTTTGGTATATCACATATCTCACTGTGTGTTGCTGGGAGCACTGATATCTGCAACCACTTCTGGTCTTTTGGTAATGTAAAGGGCATTCAATAAATATTTTTTTGCCCTCGTTTAATTACCTGTATGTTGTTAAAATAGGACTCCTGGTAGCAGTTTCCTACACCTTAATGAATCAGCTTAGAAATCTTATTTTAAGAGAAAAGCTGCAAATGGCAAGAATAATTCACACGTTTGTGGATTATCCAGTCCAAGTGAAAATTAATCTTGTGTTTTCTGCCTCTCAAGCATGACAAGGAAGCTGTGAGAACTTGTGAGTGGTTTATTTGCTTCTTCTCCAGCCCTTGCAGTCTCGGTGCTGCTCTTGGTGAGCTGAGCTTTGAGGCAGTGGTGAGAAAATCTCAAATCTTGGCCAGCAGCAGCCAGAGGTGGAATTTTCTGGAGCTGCAGTGGGGTCAGGTTCAGGCAGAGCTGCCAGGCAGCGTGCCAAGGCAGGGGCTTCCCCAGGGGGGTGAGGATTAATGGGCACAGCATCAGCATCCCATGGGTGCCCAGCGGGGAGCTCTGCCCACAGCTCTGCTCCTGTGCCCTGCAGGTCCCTACTGGACTCACATTCTGTTCACCTGGCAGTCCCGGGAAGGGCTCAAGGTCTATGTCAACGGCACCCTGAGCACCACGGACCCTGCTGGCAAAGTTTTCTACGACTACGGCGACGGCAGCGTCCTGGCGGGCAGCGAGGGGCAGGCGGGCAAGCGCTGGGTGAACGGAGCCTTCGACGAGTTCATCATCTGGGAACGGGCCCTGAG